CACGTGTTGCTGGGGACACAGGACTGCCTTGGGGATTTAGCCAGCCTTTTGGAAGCTTCCACAGAGCTTTGTGGTGCTATGACCACACAGAAGCTAGGCAGAACAACAGTACATGCTCAACCCCAAGCAAGCAATGTAGACTGGATGGAGCTGTCCCTGGGAGTGAGTATGGCCTCATCCGTGCCTTCCACCAGGCTGGGTGTTTTTCTGGAGTGGAGGTGGCTGGGCTCTCAGCCAGACCTCCCCACAGGGTGTAACGTGTGGCTTTAGCTCAGCTCTCCTCAGAGCAGGCTCCAGGTCTTCAGATGTGAAGAGACTGCAGATGTGACACCACTGCTGTGCAGCCCAGTGCTGTGCCGGACCTGGCACGCTATGGTCATTGCTCATCACACCACGAGTGCTGGCTGGGATGAACAGGGTGTGAGGCCACAGACACATGGGTGAGATTTGGTGCTTGAGGAGGAGCACATCTGAAAGAGGGGAGGGAGCTCTACAGGGAGCATTGAGGGGGCTAGTTAGGCGGTAGAGGTGCTGCAGTGGGTCATGTAGCATTAAATCCTTTCCACCCAGAGGGAAGCTTGCTGTGGACACATACAGGCATGGAGGACAGGAGGGGTGCGCTCAAGTTCACAGAGAGCATCACTATGTCTGTTAACCCAGTGAAATGAAGAGAGGCAGAAACAGAGATCAGGGGACAGAGGTGGACCAGAGTAAGCGATGGACAAGGGAGAACAAAGAGAAATCCTTACAGAGCCCACGAGAGCTGGGGCAACAGTGCTGTTGATATGATCCACGGCCTGCAGGACCCCTAAAGAAGGGAAGAGACAGAGAAAAAGAGAGAGAGAGAGAGAGTGAGGCAAAAAGAGGAGAGTGGAAAGAGGGAGGGAGAGGACCAACAGAGAGACAGAGAGGGACAGCGAGGGAAGGTTGAGGCCTGATCTTTCACTTTAGCTCTGTGCCTCTGTGGTCCCCCTGAGGGTCACATCCGCACCACCGCAGCAGTTGAGTGGAACCCCCGACAGAGCCTTGTGCACAGGCATCTCCCCACCTTTCCCGAGGAAACGTGACTTGTCGTTGTCCCGCAGCTCCAGCGCTTCATAGATCCCGGTGGACGCGCCGCTGGGGACCGCTGCTCGGAACATGCCTGGGGGAACAGCAGAACACACATGTGAGGTGAGCAGAGGGAGGGAGAACCCTCACGGACCTGCTGGTGTCCTGCTGCCCTGGGAAAGGATGAGGTAACTGCTTGTGCACAAGGATGGCCCCTCAGGGCTGGTCTCAGAGGTGGAGCACCAGGCAGCAGAAATAAAAGCACCCAGGAATTCCAGGCTGAGGAACCTGGATCTAAGGTGCCCCGTGGTCCACGTTGAACCCAGCACTATGGGTGGCAAAGGGTGGAGGTCTGGCTTCTCAGCCCTCCTCCTGGTTCCAGAGGCAGCCTGACCCGTGGCCAGCAGCTTCCTCCCCCTCAGACTAGGGCTGGGTTTCTGTAAAGAAGGGATGCCTGCTCTGGCCCCCCACTGCTCCTCATCCCTCAGCCCACCCAGCTTTGGGCCCAGCACGGCTCTTCCAGTTGAGACACATGTGCGTGTCCATGCCTGCACAGGGGACAAACCTTCCCCTGCCTCATGAGCATGGCCGTGGGTGCGTTTCCAAACTTGTACTGTGTCCCAGCACTAAAAGCATAGCTGCAGCTGGACATCACAGGGGTTTGACAAGGGAAATACATCTGTGTTAATGACACTTTCCATCCCTGATGCTAGCAGGCACATGGCTCGGTCGCACAAGCTCCACTGGGTGGGCAGCACATCCCCTGTTGTCCTCACCACGTACCTTTGTGTGTGTACAGGTCCACCTCAACAGTGGGGTTCCCACGGGAGTCCAGGATCTCACGCGCATGGATCCTCTCGACTGCCATGGCGAGCCTGTGGAGAGGACAAGACATACCCAGCTCTGAGAGACCCCCAGGATCTGGTGCTTCTAATATCTAAACAGGACACTGTCAGGGAGAAGGGAGCTCAAGGAAAACAGACCTGAGGAGCTGGAGCTAAAAGTAGGGGCTCAGGAAAATTGAGCAATTGGTACTAAACCGCCGTGGGTTTAGTGTGGAAACCTGCCCATGATCTGCCCAGGAACTGGTTATCTGTTCCAGTTCATTCTGCCCCTTCGCTGCCCGTGACACACCGGGAGCTCCCACTCCCCCTCTCCCTGCACCACTGAGCTCTGCCCGTTTATCAGGGCTCTCGACAAGAGCATTGATGAACGGCAGAGAGCGGGAGGGACGCAGAGGCAGCGCTGAGGGCAGCAGAGGGAGGGATCAGCACGTCCTGCTTCCCCTTGCCGGGAGGTGAGGACGGTCCCTGCCAGGGCAGCCCAGCGTGGCGGCTGCAGGGGCAGAGGCAGGCAGCGGGTGGCTGGGTCATGGGGACCCTCAGCCCGGTCCTTGCAGCGTGTCCCTGCCCCGGCACCCGGCTCAGCCCTCCCGCCGGGTCAGGCAGCGCTGAGGTGGAGCTGGCCAGCAGCCCGAGGAGCCATCTTGTTGAAGGCCCTCACACGGGAGAGAGGGCTCTGAAGGGAAGGGGGGGACCTGGCCCTTTGCTCTGCTCCTGAGATGGGGGATGCGCGACACTGGGAGGCACCTCTGTAGGATGGGAAGGGTGAGGAAACCTGGCTTTTTGGGACACTGAGTTAAACCTGAGGTGCAAAACAGGCTGGTGGGTGAGGATGGCTGTTTGTTCTCGCTGAAGTTTGATCCTGAAGGGGTCCAAACCCACTCGTTTTCCTCCCCCATAGCACTGCCTTATTCCCCTGCCATGGGACCATGCGATGCTGGGGAGCTGCCCCCCCCCCCCCCACAGGAGAAGGAGCAGCAGGTAGGTGTGCATCACCCCATGTCCCCAGCCCTGGCAGGCTTTCCTCCTCCAGCCCCCAGCCATGATTCACCTCAGCAGGGCCGGCCCCACGCACAACCCGGTGCAGAGGCTGTGGTGCGTGTGAGCAGCAGCGGTGCAGCCAGCACTGGGGCTCAGCACGGGGCGGTGGGGCTGCAAATAACACATCATGGCACCGAGGGGAACGGAGAAACTGGCGGGGGGAAAGCAGGAGCCGGCTCTTGAGCCCATTGCCTCAGGTGGTGGAGATGGTGCTGCGCTGAGGTTTCGGCTTCCCGTAGTGGGGAGTTTCAGTCAGCGACACCAGGGCTCTCTGAAGCCCACACAGGGCTCTCCACCATGTCCATCTGGGCTGGAATCCCCCATCAGCTGCTTTGGCAGCTCTCCTCATGCCATCTGGCACACGCTGTAGGAACTTCCTCCAGAGCCGTGCCTGTGCAGCTGCGAGCTTCCTTTGCAGCAGTGCCCTGGCCATGCCCCAACAGCTTCCACAGGAGACAGAGGAACAGGATTGCATTAACTTGCTCTTTGATAGCAAGACCTGTGCCAGATGTGGTGCCTCTCTGCTTCTGTGGTCAAGTTGCCCATGTCACATTCCTCTGCCCACATCCATCTGCCCCTGTTGAAGCCAGCTCAGAGGAAACCATATAACACGCCCAGATCCAGCCTTGCACACCCCACCCCATAACTCACTTGATCTCTTCTCCCCTCTAGTCCTTTAAATCCTTTTCTCCACTTGTGCTGCTGCCCTGTGTCCCTGCCTTTGCCCTCCTTTGAACAGTGCAAAGAACCACCCTGAAATCCCTGGCATCCGCTGCACTGTCCTAAAACGAGGTCAGAGGGGGATAAGCTAGGATAAGGGATTGGGACAGAGCCATGGCCGAGAGCCCGTAAACCACAGTGAGAAGCAGAGAGGAGCCAGGCTGAGGCTGGGGCTGGGCAGGGCATCCCAGGAGACAAGCGCTGCTGCGGTGCCATCCCGAGGGCACTGCTCCGCGGCACTGCCTGTGGCCAGGGCATCGCAGTCCCCCCTCCCCGCCAGGCAGACAAGCGTGGATGAGACCTTTCCCCCAAGCTCCCGGGGCTGCTGCGATCCCCCCCCGGGCTGGGCACTGCTCCCAGGAAGCGCGCACTGCTGCAGTGTCGTGGCTGATGCAGCTATTGCTTGCTTGACTGTCACCTCCTCTCCCTGCTGCCCCCCTCCCTCCTCTGTGTGCTGTGGGGCTGTGCAGATGCGAAAACATCCCTTCTCCTCCCCTCCGCCCTCCCTTCCTGCCTTCTTTCCTCTCCGTGAGACCCGTGTTTGTGTCAACACCTCGGGAGGCTGGGGACTGGTCTGCTCTGAGGCTGGGTCCTTTCCCCAGCAGTGCCCGAACTGAGCTTTGCCTGCTCCCCACCCGCATCTCCTGATAAAGCTCCCTCCCGCAGAGCCTGTCGACAGTGCCCTTGGGAGCAGCGCCTATCCTTGTTGACTGCCCCCCCTCCTGCAATCCCCTGGGTTCACATCTGAAACGATGCTTTCCCGGGGTGGGGAAGGAGGGAGCACCTGAAATTAAAATACGAAAGAAAAGTGAGCAGAGTGGGGGTGAGGAGGAAGAGGTGGGAGGAGCAGGGGGAGGAAGCGAGGGGAGTTCGGTTGTTAATGCCGCTCAGCGTGGACCTTCTCCGCAGGGACCCCAAAGTGCGTGTGGGGTTTGGAGGACACGGGGTGGGGGGGCAGAAACGTGCATGCGGTGAGGAGGGCGCTGGCCGTGGAGAGACACTTACCTTCCTAGGGCAGGGGTGAACGAGAGACACTGAGAAAGTACTGGTGGAAAGGAGCGAGGACGGAGCTGAGGAGGGATGCAGGACCTCAAGGGGAGATGATGTGTCCTCTAAGCCAACGGCGGCGGCAGCAGCAGGATGGAGACGCCCCTGATAGGGCCGGGACAGCAGCATGTGACCCAGAGCTGCGATGAGTCAGGATTTAGCAAAGCTTTGCAAACAGCACGTAGAGGATGGAGAGAGAAAGAGGGAGAGACAGACAGGGGATAGACGTAGACAGACGAGGGTGAGGAAGCCGGGAATGGGAGTGGGTGTGCAGGATAAACAACTCCAGTCACTCCAGGCTCATTAATTATTTTTATTCAAATCAGAAAATGTTGTAGGATTTTTGGGAGGCGTGAGTTGAACCACAGAACCTGTATCTTCACCCTTTTCCCTCTCAGGCCTACTGAGGAGAAGGCACATGAATGCAGTGACTGCAAAAGCCCACTGCAGTACTTCAGGGCAGATTCCAGGACCAGGGTGGGCAGCTCTCCTGTTTTCTTCTCCAGGGGCAAGCTGAGGTGAGGGTGGGTCTGGTACCTACAACTGCACGTGTGGGGGAAGGCATCTCCAAACCTAGACTGGCTCTGTGTACAGGTGTTAAAACCAGGGTCACTCAGTCGCATCACCCTGCTCTGATCTCTCCATTTCCTGAAGAAGGAAAGAGGGACAAGCTAAATGACTCCATGCCAGAATTCCTTTCACCATTCACTTCTGCAAGTGAGGATGGGGATGGCCAGAGGGTTGTGATGCTGTCCATCACAATCAGGTTGTGAAGCCTGGTCTCTGTTTCAGACTGTCTTTGCCCTTGGGACTGACATCTCTCAGCCTTCTCCTCACGTAATCTACAGAAGGAGAGGCTTGAGCAGCATGTCTGATCCTCTCTCCCCTTCACTTCCTCTGGCCATGCTAGTCTCACCTTTTCTTCTTCCTGCCTTCTGTGACGGATTTCTTTTGCCTCTGCTCGCTCCTCTTGCTCAACTACATCCTTGTCCAGGCGCTGCAGGTGTGGCAGCAGGGCCAGGACCTCCAGCCGGTAATCAGTCTCCTCAGAGCATGGATTGTCCAACAGCACCACTGCCTGCAGCATGGGCAGGACCTGCAGTTTTGCCACCTCCTGAAAGCTACTGATCCTGTTGTTCCTGAAGAAGAGGAAGCACAGAGAGCAGGGCAAAGAGACATGTGCAAGTAGTGGGATCCCTTTGGAACAGTAGGGTGACAAGACAGACAAAGCAAGACTTGTCAGCATGATGGACTGTAGACTTTAGATCACAGACCTGTGATCTACAATACAGATCTGCCTGCAGCTCCTCAGACTGAGGGACAAAAAGGACATCTCTGGATTTCTCTTTGCTCAGACAGTCCACTGAGTTGTGTGGTATCGCCATCACCCTGTATGGCAAATGCCAAGATGTAAATGGCACTTCACTCATGTCCAGGACACAGAGAACATGCTGAGAGGGATACAGGGGGGCTATGGCAAGGAACAGGAAGCATGAGGTGGGGTATGAGAGTGACTGAGAGGCAGATCTTTTCTGAAAAGCCCAGGAAAGGCCCTGGCTGTTACAAATCTCAACAGCCAAATGCTGAACACCAGTCAACCTATCCCCATCAGCTCTTCAACTTCCAAAGAAACCAAAAAATCCTGAAGATCTAAATAGGAATACAGCCTGATGAAGGGGTCTCTGGTCCCCATCAGATCAGAGAGGACCCACCGTAGGTTGAGGTACTGCAGACACCTCATACTACTAGAGAATCCATCCAGGGTCTCGAGCTGGTTGTCACGCAGGTGCAGAGTTGCCAGCTGCTCCAGCCCCTCAAGGCCTTCAAGGCTTGAAATGGTGTTCTGGGCCTGAGCACCAGGGAGGCAGGAAGAGAGAAGGAAAAAGAGGACATACAAGAGAGGGAACAGCAGTTATTTCTGGTCTTTAAAACTCTTTCTACCCTTCAGAATCCCTGCCACTCAGAACACAGCCTTTTCTGAAGCCAGGTTGGGTTGCTCGGGGTCTTGGCCAAATGGGTTCTAAGTATTCAGATTGAAGGACCAAAAGTTTACTGGAAAAGTGTTTCCTGTAGCATCACTTGGTGACAAAGCCACGCCAGGTGAACACGCTGCTGCCAGCACAGTACCCCCTTCCATGGCAGTGCCAAATCTGAGTCCCTAAGGCCACAGAGAGCAACAGTTTGGAGGGGAAAGAATGGACCTAAGCCTGAAACCCTAACCAAATGCGGGCAAAACTGAACTAACCCGGAATAATCTGGCCCGGGATTATCCAGCCCGGGGTAATCCGGCCCGGGATTATCCAGCCCGGGATAATCCGACCCGGGATAATCTGACCCGGGATAATCCGACCCGGGATAATCTGACCCGGGATAATCTGACCCGGGATAATCCGACCCGGGATAATCTGACCCGGGATAATCTGACCCGGGATAATCTGACCCGGGATAATCTGACCCGGGATAATCCGACCCAGATAATCCGACCCCGGATAATCCGACCCCGATAATCTGACCCTAACTGTTACCCTAATCCTAACCATAAAACCAACCCTAAACCTAATCCCATAACTCCTAACTCTAATCCTAAACACTAACTATACTTCCGTAACTCTAACACCTAACAGTAAGCCTTACCCTAACCTTAATCCATTCTAACCCTAATCCATAACCCTAAATCTCTACTTCCATAGCCAAAGAACCAGGATAAAAATCTGGTGCTTAGCCAGAGCCCTGCTGACAGGGCTGTGACAGGGAGCAGTAATCCTCACTGTCCGAATGGGACACAGCCAGCTCATAGTCTTCCTACTAGTAGGTATAACTTTATTAGTGCTTCCTTTCATCTGCAACTATGCCATACATTAACCACATTTGGTTCCACTCCTTTAAGCTGAACCCTTTGTCTTGAACCCTGCCCTTGAGGCATCAGCTATATCTACCCATGGCTCAAGTAATACTGAAATCTTTATACAGAAAGCAAAGCATCTCCTGGAGAGAAAGCTCCCTCCAGAATGATATAGTGAGCATGTGGACATGGGAGGCAAATTCAAGCCCCAAAGATTCCTGAGAAATTAGTCAGTTGTTCTTGTTTTAATAATCACATCTTGCAATTTGGCTGCTTCACATGTGCAGCTCAGAAATCCCGCAGTCATAACCTTTAAATCATGGCATCACAGACTCATAGAATCGTGGAATGGTTTGGATTGGAAGGAACTTTAAAGCTCATCCAGTTCCAACCCCCTGCCATGGGCAAAGACAACTTCCACTAGACCAGTTTGCTCCAAAGCCCCATCCAGCCTGGCCTTGAACACTGCCAGGGCTGGGGCAGCCACAGCTTCTCTGGGCACCCTGTGACAGAACCTCACCACCCTCACAGGGCAGAACTTCTGCCTAAGAGCTCATTCATTTCAGTCTCCCTTCTGTCAGGTTAAAGCCATTCCCCCTTGTCCTGTCCCTACAGGCACTTGGCAAAAGTCCCTCACCAGATTTCTTGTAGACCCTGTGCTGTGTTTGCTTCCCTTCAATCATTCACTAAAGTCACTGTTTTCACTTTGAAATGCTGCGCTGTATCTAGTGACTTATCCGATTCATCCCTCCTTTGAGCACCTCTAGTACTAAAATCTCAGCTTTCCACCAGAAAATTGCAGGCAATCTTAGCAAGCCATCTCCTCAGTGTTTTCTGACAGGGAGTCTTGATTCTAAAAGCCTTTAGAATCTGTAATTGCTTTTTAAGGGGTGGTGACTCAGGCAGGACACTCTATCTAGCCTTTGCAAGCTGTAGCACTGTGTGATGCATGGAACTAAGCTATGCCTACTTTCTTGACTCGTGTCTCTAGGAGTAAGTGTTCTCTGAAGCAATAGTTTATGATGTTAGGAAATTGCTTTTCCTGTCTTAGTTTCACTGCAGTGTTTAACCAGTTTCCTTTTGGCAGCTGAAGGCGTGAATCATCTGATTGTACTGGTTTTAAAACAGTATTTGATTAGGCCCATCAGAGAGGAGAAAGAGGCATCACTTCCCCCTGTCACCCAGAGCAAACCTGTTGCTTTCCTCACGGACCTCTGGGGGTCTCGAGGCACAAGGAATACAGGCTTGCCTAACACTGCCAGAAGAGAATACCCACAGGAGGGGAGAACCTGACACACTGAACTCTCCTTGGCTGTTTGCAGTGCTAGTACTGGTCAGTGGCTGCTCCTTCCACACTCTCTGGGCAGACAGTGAGGAGCTACCCCAAAATAAGTGATTTTGTCTCTTTAGCAATCTGAAATCTGTTCCTCTCTCAGACTGAGAAGATTGAACTGATTGCACTAGCACAAAATCTGTGCTGCTTTGAAGGGCACAGTGTCTCCCTTCCTCACATGGTCTGGAGGTTCCAGGCTCTGGAGCAGCTCTGTCTCACTCCCCAAGCTGGCTGATCCCTTACCAGATAGAGGGCCTTGAGCTTGGGAAGACTGAGCCCTGCTGTGCTCTTCAGCTTGTTTCTTCGCAACTCTAGGATTTGTAGGCTGAACAACCGGTCATGACTCAGGCCCAGGGCTGTCTGGATTTTATTTTCTGAGTGCCAGAGGAAGAAGGAAACAATGAGAGAATTAATCCCACCTGAAGAGAGTGTCCTGTGGGCACAAGAATGAGGAGAGGGGTCTTTATCACCTTTCATGCTGAGGTTGGCTAAGCGGGGGTGAGTAATGCCCTCCATGCCCTTGATGCGGTTGCGAGCAAAGCTGATGACCTGGAGGTAAGGCAGCTCCTGCATGCAGGCACTGCTCAGCAGGTTTCCATCCACCTTCAGCCAGAGCAAGTGGGTTAGGCTGCTCAGGGGAGCCAAATCCTGCAGCTTGTTCTCCGACAAATCCACGTACCGCAGGTGAACGAAGCTTTCGAGGAGGCTGATGTCTGTCAAGTCCCTGTGGGAGGAAGTATCTCTCAGTTCCCTCTGCTACTAGTTTACAGCTGCTGGAGGGAGGGCATCCTCCTCTCCCACTTCCCTGCTGTCCTGGGAAGTCTTGCTGGAGAGAAGGAAGAAAAAGGCAGGTGATAGGGACAGGCTAAAACAGTCTGTAAAGGCTGAATGGTTAAGATCAGACCTCAGTACTTGCTCCCATTGAATTGTATCTGTTAGGAGAGGGCAGAACCAGAGCAGAGAGGTTAAGCTGGGGGAGAAGGGTGTCTGTTAGGCAGCAGTGGCAACACCAAGGGATGTGTGGAAGGACTTTCCAAGTGGGAAAAAGCTGGTTAAGATATCTATGAGGCTGCTGGAAGACACACTGTTACTGAGGCCTGTTAGTTAAATCTAGGGTATACTGATAGGGCTGAGGCTCCAAATTGTCCCAAGGCCATCGTGACACTGTATTTAAGTGCACACCTTAAAGGTTAGCAGTTAACAGCAGAAATACTTAACGGCTATTTCTCAAAGTGACTGTGGGGATGTCACCATCTTTGGGTCCCCTTAGGAGACCACATTGAGGGCAGGCTCCCCTCAGTGAAGGGGGACATGGAAGTTCCCACCAGTGCACCCAGCCATGGTGGAGGCAGCCCCCAGCTCAGGGCTGAGGAGGGACAAGCTATGCTGAGGTGCAGACTGGAAGCCAGATGGCTGGAAAATACAGCCTGGAAACACTCCTGCCCCACACAGCCGATCGCCAATGGCCTCCCAGCACAACTGCTCTGTGGCTACAGAGATGCCTGGCAAGGAGGAGGCTTTCTCTCCTATGAACACAGGCTGAGAAGAGAGGCCTGGAGAAAAGAAGGCTCCTTAAGGGGAGACCTTAGAGCAGCTCCCAGTGCCTAAAGGTGCTACAAGGAACCTGTCAAGGGGCTTTGGACAAGGGCCTGTAGGGACAGGACAAGGGAGAATGGCTTTAACCTGACAGAAGGGAGACTGAGATGAGCTCTTAGGCAGTTCTTCCCTGTGAGGGTCCTGAGGCGCTGGCACAGGGTGCCCAGAGAAGCTGTGGCTGCCCCATCCCTGGCAGTGTTCAAGGCCAGGCTGGACAGGGCTTGGAGCAACCTGCTCTAGTGGAAGGTGTCACTGCCCATGGCAGGGGGCTGGAACTGGATGAGCTTTAAGGTCCTTTCCAACGCAAACCATTCCATGCCTCTCCCGGGGCAGATGTTGCACACTCACTTGCATTTGGCTTCAAATTTGACATAGGCGTGGGCCAGGCCGTTGCTGGTCTTACAGAGGAGAGAGAGACCCTCCTTCAGAACCTCCTCCGTCAGGGGACACGGAGCCGGCGCCTGGGAGAGAAGGAGAGAGCTCACCACCAACGCCGGCCTAGCCGCGGCCAGGGGGTGCTGAAGCCCCCTCCCTCACCTGCTCCTCCTCCTCTGCCGCTTCTTCTTCCTCCTCCTCCTCCTCTTCCTCCTCCAGCTCCTCGTCCTCCATGCTCCCCGGCCCCGCTCCCTGCCGCGCTGAGGCAGCTCCCTCAGGCTGCGCGGGCCGCGGCGTGCCGCTGCCATGGAAACCGGGCAGGCGGGGCCCGGACTCGCTGCCATAGCAACCGCGCTGAGCGACAGCCCCCGGGCAGGGCCTGCTGCTCCCGGCCGGGGCCTCAGCGCAGCCTCGGCCAGGGCGCTGCTTATCCCTCAGCGTTACCTCCGCCCCTAGCCCGGCCCCTGCTGCTGCCTCGGGCACCGCATGTAGGACCTGCGGAGCCTCGTTCCCTCTGAGTAACCCCCCCCCCCCCGCCGCCCAAAAAAGAGGCTTCTCGAGCCGCACGGGCAGCGTTCCGGTTAGCGCATCCCGCACCTAACGCTCGGCGTCGTGCAGCAAGGCGGGCGCTGCTGGTTTGCCCTGCGCCTGCCATCTATGCTTCCAGTGGGTTCTTTATTCACCATCCTGCTGGTAATGCTCCGCCCAGCTGACTGCTTGTGTTAGCTGGCTGCTCTGCCTGCAAGAGCTTGTCATTTTGGTATTGAGTTCCACGTGGAAAGCTCAGAGCATGGATCACCTGCATTAGAAGCACTTTCACAGAATATAGAATCATGGAATGGTTTGGGTTGGAAGGGACCTTAAAGCTCATCCAGTTCCAATCTCTGCCACGGGCAGGGGCGCCTCCCACTAGAGCAGCTTGCTCCAAGCCCCTGTGTCCAACCTGGTCTTGAACACTGCCAGGGATAGGGCATCCACAGCTTCTCTGGGCACCCTGTGCCAGTGCCTCAGCACCCTCACAGGGAAGAGCTTCTTTATAAGGTCTCCTCTCAATCTCCCCTCTGGCCGGTTAAAGCCATTCCCCTTGTCTTGTCATTTTATGCCCTTGTAAAATGTTGCTTTCCAGGATCTTTTGTGATCCTGCTCTACTCTCCCAGGTGCTCCTGGCCCTTCCTTGCTGGGTGATGTCCGCAATTATCAGAAGTGTGTCCAGAGAACTGAAGGATCCTTTCAGTGGGAAGAGACTGCTGGACGTTGTCCTGCCCACCTCAGACTGGGGCTGGTTTCAAAATTAGGCTGGGCTACACAGGGTGGTGGTCACTCATGCAGCAAATAATCTGTGTGGAAAGACATTCATTCCCCCTGGTAAATGCTTAATTAATATGTGGAGCAGAATGAGGCTCTGCATGGAACCTCCCATGACATGTCTCCTCAGATGCCAGGAAGTGCCTTTTGGGGCACAGTGTCCTGACCCGCTGTGGTGAGGCTGCTTCAGCCCTCTTCTTCAGGCTGGGGAGCTGGGGAGGGCTGAGGCTGCACTGCCAGTGGGTGCCATCAGTGCCTGTGGGGCTGTGCCCCCTGTGTCTGACAAGCAGAGCCGGGTGTTTTGTGGTTAGTACCAAAGTCCAAGGCCCTGCTCCCTTTCCCTCCAGTGCACTTTGCCTCTCTGCAGCCCATGGGCAATGTCTGTGTTAGATAAGCTGGTCCAAGCTCAGCTGGACACAACCATCAGACATGAGTCTCAGGCTCTTCCAGTGTCACCCCTCAGTGTTCCCCAGCGCTGACCTCTTCTATGCTACACTTGCCCCATCTGAATTCACTCCCTGGCCATTAACTACATGATGTAGTTTTCCACCATATCCCCTGCAAAAGAACCCTCAACACATAAAGCACTCCAGGCCCTCTTGCCTTTGCTTTCCAAGGAGCTCTTCAACAAATGAGTGCTGCAGGAAAAGCAACAACATGGTTTTCTTCCTGTCCCTTGTCATTTGATGCTGAAGAATGGACTGGTAGGAGTTGTCTATGTCTTCGTGCACATTTTACATGTTCTTGCAGCAGGATCATATGGCTCAATTGCCTTGTTTCTAGATGACCATAGAATTAAAAAAGGAAAAAGAGAAATTAAACACAGGAACCGAACTCTCTTAGAGAGAAATTTTGTTTAGTTTTATATATATATATATGTACATATATAACTAAAAGACCCCAAATCTAACTATACTGATCATTAAGGAGGTTATGTGCTAAAACCTCATTTGCACACCCAGAGGAACACAGGGAGATGATGACTGGGGGGGGACCACAAACAGCACCCTGCTGAGCTGCCCCCAGGCCCATGGAAGGAGCCATCAGCCCACCAAAGGAGTACAGGGGCACAGTTGTAAGTGGGAACCCAAATTAAGGACTCGGAGGAAGGGACATCCTGTGACCCTCCCAGGGGACCCTCAGCTCCAGAGTGCCTAAAGGGCTGGGGGGTTGCTGTGTTCAGGGCTGTGGGACACATGATGGGATACAGGGGAAGAGTGTCGGGGATTGCACAGGATTCATTAGGGTGTGTTCAGGAGAGGAGCCAAAAGCAGGAAAAAGATGGATCTAGGTGATGTGAGCAGGATCAAGTGTGGGAAAACGAATACAGGACTAAAAAGGACTGATTGCATGTAAATGGTTTGAGGTGGTTTGGCCTTGTCCATCCCGTCCATTCACTAAACTCCTTTAATAAACTTTTCCCTGGGTGAGGGATGCTTGTTGCCATGTGCAGGCATGTGGAGGGGCTGTGAGTGCCAGCGGCCCATGGGGGAGGTGAGTGTGTGGGTGGCAGCAAGGGTGCAGTTGGACCAGGCAACGAGGGGGCATGAGGGAGGCTGCAAGGGAGGAGATAGCGCCAGGGGCACTGGTTGAGTCCCAGCAGCTGCTGAAGAGGCTGGGGGGGGGGGTCCTGGGGGGGGGCCCTGGGAGTCCAGAGCACCACAGGGGAGCTGGCTACTGAGGAACCAGGGGGCTGGAGGGGCTGGGATTGAGGGGCAGCTCTGGGCAGGCTGCCTGAGCCCAGCTGCTGGAGGGAGCCATGCTGTACATGTGTGTATGTGTAGATCTATAGACACACACACATATATATGTGCATGCTCACTAGTGCACCTTCATCCTACTCAGCTGATAGAGTAGGATGAGGCCCCTGGTGCTGTGCTTGTGTGACTGAGCTCTGTGTGTCCATTCATGTACAGATGTTGGTGTATATGTGTGCTTGTGTGTGTGTGACTACTGGGAACACAACTGCAGCCTGGCTGCTGGTTGGGGCTGATGACATGGAGCTACAGCAGCCTCCCTCAGGCTGTGTCACATCAGGCACAATGCAGCAACCCCGTTCAGGATCCAACCACCACAGTTTGCAGTGAGGATCTGGCAGTATTCCCACTCCACAGAGCCGTGGCCTTGCCAGAAAGCAGACAAAACCGAAACAAACCAAGATCTTTCATTCCTGCTAATGCATGGATTACTGTCCATGAGTTTATTCCTCATTAAAGGAATGCTTTTACGCCTCTGTGTTCTCCGCACAGCAGCAAGATCGATGCGCGGCTCCCATCCTATTTTCCCTATGTCGGTCACGCCCCGGGCTCCGTGGCGCGGCGGGCACACACCGCGGAGCTGCAGCCGGTCCCGGTGAACCATCCTCCCATCTTACAGCCGGCGCAGGGCCCCACGGCCGCCTGAGGGCGCCCCAGCACCGGCCACCGCCCGCGCCGGTCCCTGCTCCTCCCCGGGAGCGGAACGCGCGGTCCCAATGAGGATGGGCAGGTGGGCCCTGGAAGGCCACACACAGCAGGAGCCGGTGTCCCTCCTCCGCGGCCCCCTCCCGCCTCTCGTCCCTCGGGTGATGCGGGAAGGGGAGGAACGTACCACATCTGCATGAACCACAGACGAGAACACGAGCTAGGAGAGCGCATCGCAGCTGTGCGCTGCCAGCCCCTCCACACGTCTGCTTCCGACCTGGAGCACTGCCTTTCAGCGCCCAAGGATGCACCACCCCACTGCGAAGCTCGTCCTTGTGAGACACTTCCTTTCTCGTTACCCTTAGCTAAAGGCCGCCTAGCTGGTGCAGCAGCTGGGAAGAAACAGCTAGTTCTGCCTTCTGGTACAGCAAGCACAACCTCATCACACGGCCTGAAAATCTTTCCCTGCACGGAGAGGGCGCTGGACTGCTCTGCATTTAACGAGCAGCAACGTCAATCACCAGTTGTCACAGGCAAAGAGCAGGCATGAGGGCATGGAAAGATCAGCCCATGAGAGTGACAGGCAAGTGCTGGAATAAAGAGATGTGGAAAAGATGCACACAAATGACTACGGACTCAAAGACGTGCTGTAACATGACAGAAGATACTCAGGGCATGCTGCAGGTGAAGCCTATAATACCAGACCAAGCCTATAATAGCAGGTCAAACCTGTGCAATGGCCACTGTGGCAATGGTGGGCCCTCAAAGAGAAGGCCACCAAACCCTCACTACCTGCCCTGGACGCAGGTACCTTCGCAAGTAGTAAGTTCTGTGAAGTTCTGTACACTCCTTGTCCCCAGCTGCTTCCAAGTAAGAGCCAGGACACACCTTTGCTTTTTCTTTTTTTCATTTATTGTTCAGTAGGGGACATGGGTGAGGTAAGACATCTCACAAGGGACTAAGCTGACAGGCTCCTTGCTGATGGAGCTGAAGGATGCAAGAGACTAGAGTTCTTTCTTTCTTCCTTCCCGCAGCACCAGTGGCCCCCTCTCCCTGCAGCACAGCAGAGAAAGGGGGAGGTACTGGCCAGGTTGACTGTGGGCTTCTATGGGTCAACAGGCAACCAAGGATTTTGCCAACAGAGAGAGGAGGCTGTCAAGACTCTGCTGAGACAGGCCCCCACTAACAGGACTCCAACATGGTGTGTGAGGGGTTAGCAGCACAGCTACAACAATGACTGTGAATGGGGGAAGCCTCAGAACAGAGACGTGTGCAATGAAGGGTCCCTTTTTGCTTCCATGTCTTGCTTTTAGCCACAAGGGACTGTTCCTCACCAGCTGCTTTAGTGCCTGGCATTGATAATATCCACAAACTCGGGCTTGAGAGACGCTCCACCAACGAGGAAGCCATCCACATCATGCTGAGAGGCCAGCTCCTTACAGTTGCTGCCAGTGACCGAACCTGAGGAGGGAGCAGTATTTTAAGGTCAGATGTGGCCAGCTCCAAAAAATGGGGGCAGGGTAAGACCTGCATTGTGCCAGCCACCTCTCGCTATGCATACAGCAAGACTGTCTCCCATTTACCCAAACAAGCTAGTAAGTGGTTCTTCATGCTCTGACAGGCTCCAGTTTCCTCACTAGCAGAGCATGCTGTACAACTGCAGCGATAAACAGAGAAACAAAGTGCTTCTTGCACTGGAGAGA